TCCTTTGTTTCTTGTGAGTGTGGAATAACCGCAGCACAGCTGCACAGTAATGTGTTCTTTGGCTTTTACCCCCAAGTGGTGCCTCTCTGGCAGGAGGGGGGGATTAGGAGGAGAGGGAGCAAGAGGAAACGTGCTGCTTTGCTGCAGACTTTTAGACACTATAAAGGAAAAGATGAAATCACCCCAGCTGCCCTCCCCTTGCTCACTGCAAGCCTTTGTGCAATACTCCAGCACCTGCACTTGCCGAGCTACAGAGCTGCACTGAGACATAAGCAGAAGAGGAGAAAGGGTTTTGTTGTCTTTCTCTGTCTCTCTTTCTCTCTCTCTTTTTTTAATATCTCTAAATCCTCCCCAGAGGGGAGCTGTGGGCCCTGTGCATTCCTTACAGCCACATGCCTGCCTGACCACAGCGGGCTGGGAAGCCTCCAAAAATACGGTGCCTGGGCAAGGCAGCTGCATCCCACAGAGGGTGCACGGCAGTTACACCCAGGGGGGTGGGGACTGCGGGCAAGGCTCGGGTACGGATTGGTCAAAAATTAGAGAGGCGGTAGAAGAAAAAACAGCAGAGAGAAAGGGAAGTGATGTAACTTACAGGCGTTCGGATGATAACGTCCGGCCAGCACTGTCCACCCTGATCGCGCCTGAAGGAGTAGGTGGCGTGTGGCCGGCGCTGTCTGCTCAGGTTGCACCCGTAGGAGAAAGACAAAATGACGAGAGTCTCCGGACGCACTCCTTACCACAGCATTCAGAGTCACTGATTCGACCCACATATCCTTTTACAAGATTGAGTGCGTATGCAACCAATCAGAAGCCTCTACAACAGTCAGTGCATGATCAAAGGGAGATGAGTCTGAGGGGAGGGGTGCGGAGCCCGCAGCTTCCAGCTGTGACTGAACAGGATAGCGAAAGGAGAGAGGTGAATTTGCATTTAGAAGTTAAGAGAGATGCACTAACAGATTGTGGGAAGTTTAGATCTAGCCTGATAGAGGAAGGAAAAGTACTGGAGATCTTCCTGGTAGTAGAGAACGGTAACAGAATCCCAGAAGGGGTACCCCTCGATCTGAAAGACATCACACACCTGATAGATTGTGCAGAGAAACAGGGATTGAAATCACTCCTTGCTCTAAATGCATTAGAAGTCCTGACAGCACCAGGTCTTCTCTTTCCTCATGATGTAACGAATCTGATGTGCATGGTTTTTAAGCCAGTGCAGTATACATTGTGGGCATCAGAATGGGTTCCCTTCAGGGACAGGTGGCCAGATTGAGGCCTGGAGAACAAGCAATTCCACACAGCTGGCTTGTGAGAGCAATGCTTTCAAGGCTTGAGACATCTGCCTTGATATTGAATAAAATGTTTGTCATTTGGAGGTACATTCCAACAGGTACCTGAGGCAAAGTTGGCATATATTGGGAAAATAACCTGGTTATGTTTGTATAAGGATCCTTTGTAATTTCATACTCATAGATAGTGCCACTAGAGCTATCAGCAATCACTCCAATCAGTAATCTCTAATCTCTCTGTCTATGATTTTACCAGTACTGTAGGATGTGGCTTTAATTGTTTAGCGTCAGTAACATCACATCAATTATTGCAGGCACAGCATGCTTCACTGTCAGAACTGCGCATGATCTTCATGCATCTCTTCATATAGGTGCCAAGGCTTTGGCACGGGCCTGTTCTATTCCCTTGCTGACAGTTCGTAATGTAGTTCAGGCATGTCCATATTGCAATTCTGCCCCAACTATTGGTGCAGGTGTTAACCCCCGTGGCTTAAAGCCACTGCAGATCTGGCAGATGGATTTTACATGGGAACGCCGTATGGCCCCTGTTGTATTAGGCACTTGCGCCATCTTCAGGTTGTAACGCGTTAGGACCTCCCCCTCCATATATAAGCACGTGTTCGTTCCATTAAAGCGCCATTTTGCTGTTCACCATATTGGTGTCACCTCAGTAATTGGCCAAGCTGCGGTCTCCCAGGAAAAACGAACAGGTGAAGGTTACAACAGATGGTGACCCCGACGTGATTTCTGGGGGTAAGTCAGCTGTTCTGCCAGCGGCGCAGGATCCCATTGCGGAGCGGGTACGTTATAAAACCCGCGGAGTAGTGGAAGCCCGGGGACGGGGAGGAGTGCGCATTAGTCCTTGTCAGGCGGGAGGCTCGGGAAAAAGAGCCACGATCCCCCGAGAAGCTCAGGGAAGTGCCCGGTGAAGGCTAGACTCGCGCTTAGCCTGGGGCGATGGAAGCCGTTATCAAGGTGATTCTTCGTGCATGTAAAACCTATTGCGCAAGAAGTGTTCCTTCTAAGAAGGAGGTTGCGGTGGTTCTTTTGCTGCTGGAGGGGGAGGGCTTATTGGCATCTCCCTCTGATTTATACGATCCCGCTAATTGGGATGGGTTCACTGCCGCGCTCTCTAAGAGGGCAATGACAATGGCAGAGGTGGTTGCCGAGCCGCTCTCCATCATATTTGAGAAGTCGTGGCTGTCAGGTGAGGTCCCGGACGACTGGAGGAAGGGTCACGTCACTCCCATATACAAGAAGGGGAGCAGGGAGGACCCGGGGAACTACAGGCCGGTGAGTCTTACCTCCGTGCCTGGGAAGATGATGGAACAGATCCTCCTGGACAACATGCTTGGTCACATAAAGAACGAGCATGTGATCCGAGACAGCCAGCACGGCTTCACCAAAGGAAGGTCATGCCTAACTAATCTTGTGGCCTTCTATGATGGAGTGACAGCATTGGTGGACGAAGGGAAGGCGACCGATGTCATTTACCTGGACCTGAGCAAGGCCTTTGACATGGTCCCCCACCACATCCTCATCTCCAAATTGGAGGGAAGTGGATTTGATGGGTGGACGACCCGATGGATGAGCAATTGGTTGAAAGGCCGCAGACAGAGGGTGGTGGTCAATGGCTCTATGTCCAGGTGGAGGCCGGTAACAAGTGGTGTCCCCCAAGGGTCTGTCTTGGGACCGGTGCTCTTTAACATCTTTATTAATGACATTGATGAGGGAATTGAGTGCACCCTCAGCAAGTTTGCTGATGACACCAAGCTGAGTGGTGCGGTTGATACGGTGGAAGGAAGGGATGCCATTCAGAGGGACCTCGACAGGCTGGAGGGCTGGGCTCGGGTGAACCTAATGAGGTTCAACACGGCAAAGTGCAAGGTTTTGCATTTGGGCCAGAAGAACCCCAGGCACCTGTACAGGCTGGGAGGAGTGGGCCTGGAGAGCAGCTCGGCAGAGAAGGACCTGGGGGTCCTGATGGACGAGAGACTGAACATGAGCCAGCAGTGCGCTCTGGCAACTCGAAAGGCAAATGGGATCCTGGGCTCCATCAGGAGAGGGGTGGCCAGCAGGGACAGGGAGGTGATTGTCCCTCTCTACTCGGCTCTTGTGAGGCCCCATCTGGAGTACTGTGTCCAGGTGTGGAGCCCTCAGTACAAGAAAGACATTGAGATTTTGGAAAGGGTCCAGAGGAGGGCGACTAAGATGATCAGGGGGCTGGAGCACCTCCCCTATCAGGACAGGCTGAGGGAGTTGGGCTTGTTCAGCCTGGAGAAGAGAAGGCTGCGGGGTGACCTCATTGCAGCCTATCAATACCTGAAGGGAACCTACACCCAGGAGGGGAGTAAACTCTTCAAAAGGGCTGACAACAGCAGGACTAGGGGAAATGGTTTTAAGTTGAAGGAGGGAAGATTTAGGTTGGATGTTAGGGGGAAGTTCTTTACTAGGAGAGTGGTTAGGCCCTGCAACGGGCTGCCCAGGGAGGTTGTGGATGCCCCGTCCTTGGCCGTGTTTAAGGCCAGGTTGGACGGGGTCCTGGGCAACCTGATCTGAATGTGTATGTTTGGTGGCCCTGCTAGGCAGGGGGGTTGGAACTACATGATCCTTGGGGTCCCTTCCAAGCCGGGTGATTCTGTGATTCTGTGATTCTGTGACTACCCAAAAGGCAGCAGAGTTCAAGGTGTGGGGATTGATTTTGGGGGCGTTTAAGATGGCGAGGGAGGAGAAAATGGCGAGTGATCGAGCTAGGGAGCTGTTAGGGCTGGGGACGGGGGGGGGGGGGGCGGGGGGGGGGACGGAGATCTCCCCTGCAGGTTTGCTGGAGGGCAAGTCGGGGCCGGTCCCCGCAGCCCCGCCCGAGGCGGCGGCTTCGACACCAAGAAGGGAGGAAGTTCGGCAGGGATCATCGGACCGCAGGGACGGAGAGGCTCCATCCCCGCCTCCTTATCCAGCTCAGGGTTTATATCCTTCGTTGAAACCCTTCAGGGATGAGGGGGGAGGGGGAAGTGCGGAGGAATGTAGCATAGCCTGTTTAATACCTGTTAAGAGGGCAGTGGGGGAGGGCGAGCTGGCCAGAGAGGGTACGGCGCGGCTGGTGAAATGTGAGAGCGGGGGCGGTGCTTCTTTGCTGCCTGACTCTGTTTGTTGCCGCGGCCGCTCCCAAAAGGGGCTGGAATGTTCCACTCCGTCTTGTGAAGGATGTGGGTGTGGCGTCCCGGTGCGAGCAGCCTCGGGATTCACCCAGGGAGGGCGGGATCCTGCAGTGACTGCCTCATGGGCCCCACCTACACTCACTGGGCTAGGGCGAGGGAGGATTTACGAAAGGCAGATCCGACAGCTACGGCATTTGCCCTCCCTGTAGTAGTGAAAACAGGGGGTCCAGCTTGGACCCCTCTGGACTCCAAGGCAATTACTCGCCTTGCAGATTTGGTTAAAAGTAAAGGTCTGCGCTCTCCTGTGACCATGTCGGCAGTAGAAGCTCTTATGGCTTCTAGCCTCCTGCCGTATGATGTGGTCAATCTTATGCGTGTCATCCTTGAACCTGTACAATACACCCTGTGGTATGATGAGTGGAATAGGCTGCTTCAGGTTGTGGTGGCCACTGCCACTCGTGACCACCGCCATCCAGCAAATGGCCAGGGCCGGAATGACAGGACTAATCTTGCGCGTCTCCAGGGCCTAGCAGAGGGTATGGTAGGGTCCCCAGAGGGCCAAGCGACAGCACTTAGAGCAGGGGAGTTGGCAGCCCTTACAACCGCAGCTCTTCAGGCCTTGCGAACGGTGGCTAGGGTCGCAGAGCCTGTGTTTCCATGGACAGATATCAAACAGGGGCCCTCTGAGTCATTTTCCGACTTTGCGAATCGTTTGATTCGCGCGGTGGAAGGATCCGACCTCCCCAAGGAGGTTCAACCTCTGGTCGTCATAGATTGCCTTAAACAAAAATCGCTGCTGGATGTTCAGCAAATTATCAGGGCAGCACCAGGGACCTTGAATACCCCAGGAGAACTCATCAAGTATGTATTAGATCACCAGAAGGTTGCACCTCTAACCAATGAGGGTTTAGTGACAGCCATGCAAGGGATGGCTGCTTCGGTTAGCTCGGCGGTTAGGACAGAGGTGATGGCAGCTGCTTGGGTTGGGGAAGAAAAGGATAAAGGCCCTTGTTTTAAATGTGGACAGCGCGGTCACTTTAAAACACAGTGTCCTAAGAGAGTGGGCCAGGAGGGGTTGCAGAGTCAGAAGAAGAGGTGTCAACTGTGCGACAGGCCCGGACATGTTGCGCACCAATGTCAAAAGTTCAAGGTTATGCCGCAGGGAAACAGGAGAGGGAGGGTGCCAATGGCCCAGGGCTCCTTCCCGTTTCCCTGAACTGGGCCGCAGATGCTACGCCTACAGCCGCATTAGCCATGGACTTAGGCGAGCGGCCATTAACTAAGGTCATGATGACATTTGATTTGGAGCTCCCAGTATCGGGGCCCCGAACGGTGTTTTTTACAGCTTTATTGGACTCTGGTGCGGACATTACTGTTATTGCAGAAAACGACCGCAAATAACAGTACCGGAAAAAACAGGACCGGAAAAAGAGTCGGCTGGCGACTCTTACATGGAAAAAGCTTGCCGGGGTGGGGGGTGAGGTACCTACCAAAGTGGCTGATGCAGGAGTGGAGCTTTCAATCATAGGCAGAGATGGCTCTATAGAGAAGACTGTTTTCATTACCCCTACCCTAGCCCCGATTCCAGGATCTATACTGGGCAGAGACATCCTTCTTGAGCTGGGAGTGAAATTGACAAATTTATAATAAGGGCCACTGTCCATCATTTAGCACTGCAACACGCAATTCCGTTACGGTGGAAACGGGATGTATCTCCCATTTGGGTGGATCAGTGGCCCCTTCCAGCTGATAAATTGGCAGCGCTTATACAGCTTGTTTCGCGAGAGCTTATGGCAGGCCATGTAGAACTGTCACTTAGTAATTGGAATACACCCGTTTTTGTTATCTGAAAGGCTTCTGGGTCATTTTGGTTGCTGCATGACCTTCGAGCGGTTAATGCGCAGCTAATTCCCTTTCGTCCGGTTCAGCAGGGAGGACCTCTACTCTCAGCTATCCCGGAGAAATGGCCCTTGATGGTCATTGACCTTAAAGACTGTTTCTTTTCTATTCCCCTGGCAGAGCAGGACAGACAGGCTTTTGCATTTACGGTCCCGGTTGTGAATAACCGGGGACCCACCCAAAGGTATCAGTGGAAGGTTGTTCCACAAGGTATGACCTGCTCGCCCGTGATTTGCCAACTCGTAGTGGGCAAGGTCATAAAGCCAGTTAGACGGTCATTATTGGACTGTCAAATTGCACATTACATGGATGACCTATGGCTTGCTGCACTGACTGATGCTCAGTTGCGGACATTGGAGAAGAATGTAGTTACCACGCTCACTACTGCTGGGTTTGTTATCTCACAGGAAAAGATTCAAAGAGAACCAGGAATTGAGTTCCTAGGATATAAGTTCGGGTCCGCGACGGTAATCCCAGAGGGATTGGAGATCAAGCCCCATGTTACCACCTTGTGGGATGTTCAAAAATTAGTGGGGGCTATGCAATGAGTAAGAAATTCAGTAGGCATTCCCCCACGGCTCATGAAGCCCTTTTATGACCAATTGAAGGGGTCAAACCCACATGAGGAAAGGGAATGGACCCCGGAGATGAATTCAGCTTGGCAAGAGATACTGACAGTTTGTTCTACAAATGCGCTTGCAAGGTGGAATCCAGATCAGCCACTGGAAGGCGCAGTAACCAGATGCCAACAGGGATCGGCAGCTGTGATAGGACATACCCTTAGCTCCCGCCCACGTCCATTGTGTTGGCTGTTCTCCGCCCAGCCGGTGAGGTCGTTTACTCCGTGGTTGGAGCAATTGTCCTCTCTGCTCCGAAAGGCTCGCCTCACCGCAGTAAGGGCTTTTGCAAAGGACCTGGATATTGTGTACCTACCGGGGGCCTTTTGAAATGCTCAGCCTTTGCCGGATGAGATCTCCTTGGCGGTGCATGATTTCAGTGGTAAGCTTAGTTACACTGATGTACTGCCAATTTTCCATCTGGCGAAACCTCTTCAGATATCCCTACGGCACAGAGTGTTGACACCCCCATAGATGGCCCGACAATATTCACTGATGCCTCTTCAGCGACTGGCCAGGGAGTAGCTGTTTGGCAAGTTCTGGGTGGCAAGTGGGAGTCTAAGTTGATAACTGATGGCTCGGTGAGCGTTCAGATGCTGGAAGCCAGAGCGGTGGCAGTGGCATTATGCATCTGGCCCCAGACTCCCTGTAACATCGTTACTGATTCGGCATTCGTAGCTAGGTTGCTATTACGCATGGGAAAGGAGGGACAGCCGAATACGACAACTGCAGCTTTGTTGGAGGATGCTTTGGTGGCCAGATCTGCGCCTGTCGCCATCCTCCATGTCCGTAGCCATTCTGATGTTCCAGGGTTTTTCACTATGGGGAATGATACAGCGGATCGTTTAGCGGGGGGCCAAGTATTTACTTTGCGGGAAGCTCGTGATCTTCATTCTGCATTACATATAGGGGCTAGAGTGTTAGCTCGGACTTGCTCCATTCCTGTCACTGTTGCTAGGGAAGTTGTGCAAACTTGCCCGCACTGCAATTCTGCACCAGCGCTCGGGGCAGGGATTAATCCCCGTGGTCTCGCTCCATTGGACGTCTGGCAGACAGATTTTATGATGGAACCACAAATGGCCCCACGAGCATGGCTTGCTATAGCAATTGATACATCCTCTACCGTCATCGTTGCTACACAACATGGGCGCACTAGCTCTGCGGCGGCTCAGCATCATTGGGCCACGGCCATCGCGGTCTTGGGAATGCCGCACCACATAAAAACAGATAATGGCTCTTGCTTTGTTTCGCGGTCGTCTAAAGAGTGGCTGGCCCGCTGGAACATCACACATAGTACAGGAATCCCGGGTAATTCGCAAGGTCAAGCCATTGTAGAAAGGGCTAACCGCCTCCTCAAAGAAAAGATTTGTGTCCTTGGGGAGGGGGAGGGATATACAGGGAAGATCCCAATATCACTTCAAGGAGAAATCTTGGCTCGTGCATTGTATGAGTTAAATCATTTTGAGCGCGGGGAAAGCGCAAGGACCCCTATACAGAAACATTGGCAGCCGAAAATTATCGAGGAGGGCCCACCAGTTAAGGTTAAAATGGAAAATGGTTCTTGGGAAGCGGGGTGGTCCATATTGGTATGGGGCAGAGGTTACGCGGCAATAAAAAACAAAGAAACGGGGGACATTCGATGGGTACCCTCAAGGAAGATCAAGCCGGAGGTTGGTGATGTTAAAGTTACTGAGGTAATAATCAAGAATTGAGTATCTTGTTACAGGCTATGTTGATCGGGCACTCGAAGGACCCGGAACCAAAGGACACCCACATGAAGGAAAAGGACCTGGAAAAGGGACCCTTGCTGTCAACGAGAATTACTGTGCTAATGTCGTTGTGCCTCTTTTGTCTGTGTTGGTCGCCGGTGGGAAGTACTCACTTGATCCAGCAGCCTGGGAATTTGTGGGTTACTTGGGCTCGCCAAACAGGGAGGACGGATTTCTGCCTAAGCATGCAATCGGCCACTTCACCATTCCGCACGTGCCTTATAGGGGTACCTTTGAATTTTTCTACTGATAGGTTGTTATATTTCTGGGATTAATGTTGTGTTTGCCATGTATCTTTCGATGTTTGCGAGGTTGTATACAACGAATGACTGAGAAAATGATCTACACGCAATTGGAATATTGTAGGATGCAGGATAAATTCTAAGATATATGTTGTTCAGGTTTAGCATATTGCGTATTGTAATGGGGCAAGGCTTCTCTTGGCATGGGGAGGGGGAAATGTTGTATTAGGCGCTTGCGCCATCTTCGGGTTGTAACGCATTAGGACCTCCCCCTCCATATATAAGCACGTGTTCGTTCCATTAAAGCGCCATTTTGCTGTTCACCATATTGGTGTCACCTCGGTAATTGGCCAAGCTGCGGTCTCCCAGGAAAAACGAACAGGTGAAGGTTACAACAGGCCCCTTGTCCATGGCTTGCCGTTACTGTAGATACAGCTTCTTCTATGATATCAGTCACTCAACATGCAAAGTGCAATTCGACCGCAGCACAGAGTCATTGGGCCACTGCAATAGCCGCTATGGGGTTGCCCAGTCAGATAAAAACAGATAATGGGTCTTGCTTCATCTCAAAATCGACCCAGGAATGGCTAATAGCTTGGGGGATATCTCATTCCAGAGGAATCCCTGGCAACTCTCAGGGACAAGCAATTGTAGAACTTGCCAATCGCCACCTCAAGGAAAAGTTACACGTCCTAGGGGAGGGGCCGGGTCGGGCCGGGGGCGGCGATGGCGCCGCGGCTGCAGTTGGAGAAGGCGGCCTGGCGCTGGACTGAGGCGGTGCCGCCCGAGGCGGTGACGCAGGAGCACATCGAAGCGGCCTACCGCGTCAGGCTGGAGCCCTGCCAGCGCAGCGCCTGCCGGAGGAACTGCCGGGGGAACCCTAACTGCCTGGTGGGCATCGGGGAGCACATCTGGCTGGGTGAGATTGATGAGAACAGCTTCCACAACATCGATGATCCCAACTGCGAGCGCCGCAAGAAGAATGCATTTGTGGGCTTAACGAACCTCGGCGCCACGTGCTATGTGAACACTTTCTTGCAGCTGTGGTTTCTTAATCTGGAGCTCCGGCAAGCCCTCTACTTGTGTTCCAGCAATGAGCACACAGTCAGAGAGAGCATCCCCAAAGACAAAGACTATGAGCCTCAGACCATTTGTGAGCATCTTCAGTACTTGTTTGCCTTGCTGCAGAACAGCAGAAGGCGATACATCGATCCCTCTGGGTTTGTCAAAGTGCTGGGCTTGGATACAGGCCAGCAGCAGGATGCCCAGGAATTTTCCAAGCTGTTCATGTCACTGCTGGAAGATACTTTATCCAAACAAAAAAATCCAGACGTTCGAAACATTGTTCAGAAACAGTTTTGTGGGGAGTACGTCTATGTCACGTTCTGCAACCAGTGTGGCAGGGAATCCAAACTCGTGTCTAAGTTTTATGAGCTGGAGTTAAACATCCAAGGACACAAGCAGCTGACAGACTGCATAACAGAGTTTCTCAAGGAAGAAAAATTAGAAGGGGACAATCGTTATTTTTGTGAAACGTGTCAGAGTAAGCAGAATGCCACAAGGAAGATCAGGCTGCTAAGACTTCCATGCACACTCAACCTGCAGCTGATGCGTTTCGTGTTTGACAGACAAACTGGCCATAAGAAAAAGCTGAACACCTACATTGGCTTCTCTGAGCTGCTCGACATGGAGCCTTTTATGGAACAAAAAAATGGTGTTTATGTATACGAACTGAGTGCTGTTCTCATACACCGAGGTGTGAGTGCATACTCAGGGCACTACATCGCCCACGTGAAGGACCCGAGGAAACGGCCAGAAGTTATACCAGAAGAGGTTTAGGTTGGATATTAGGATATTGTCAGAGTAAGCAGAATGCCACATGCCGTGCACCCTCTGTGGGATGCAGCTGCCTTGCCCAGGCACCGTATTTTTGCAGGCTTCCCAGCCAGCTGTGGTCAGGCAGGCATGTGGCTGTAAGGAATGCACAGGGCCCACAGCTCCCCTCTGGGGAGGATTTAGAGATACTGCAAAAAGAGAGAGAGAAAGAGAGACAGAGAAAGACAACAAAACCCTTTCTCCTCCTCTGCTTATGTCTCAGTGCAGCTCTGTAGCTCAGCAAGCGCAGGTGCTGGAGTATTGCACAAAGGCTTGCAGTGAGCAAGGGGAGGGCAGCTGGGGTGATTTCATCTTTTCCTTTATAGTGTCTAAAAGTCTGCAGCAAAGCAGCACGTTTCCTCTTGCTCCCTCTCCTCCTAATCCCCCCCTCCTGCCAGAGAGGCACCACTTGGGGGTAAAGGCCAAAGAACACATTGCTGTGCAGCTGTGCTGCGGTTATTCCACACTCACAAGAAACAAAGGAATGTCTGGCAAAGTGGAACCATCTGGCTATGGCTGTTCAGTGCAGGAGACAAAGGAGAAAGCGGAACACCACAGAGAAGGGCTGGGTGGAGAATATGACCTTGGTCACAGCAGCCGACTTTGGGAAGAGACGCTCTCAGGTGTAGCAGCCATTTGAGGTGAGAAAGGTGGAAAAAACTGAGACAAAAAACAGTCGCAGTGTGAAAACCAAACACTTGCATTGCTGTGTGGATAGTTTAAGTGCCTCTTAGTAGTGCTCGTGGTGTGGCTGATGGGTGCTGGTGCCCAAATGAAGGCCTGAGTGCCTTCCCTCTGTCACACTGCTGCCGACGGGGGGCTGGGGTAGGAAACATAGCTGAGGAACCAACTGGATGAGAGGAATGGCTTTGTGACACACTGTAAGGCGCTGGGGAGATGCTGCGGCCTGGCAGCTGTGCACAGAGCTGTGAGGTAGGTGGGAACGGAGGCACCCTGAACTCCAGTGAAGGGAAAGCAGAAAGGCCGGGGAAAAACAAACCCACAAACAAACAAACAAAAGAAGCAGAGAAAGAAAAAAAAAAAAAAAAAAAAGCCGGGAAAGGGCAACCAGAAGGTGCACGAGAAAGAAAAAAAGGGCTGAGGGGGTGAGGCCGCGGGACGAGCGCGAGGCCCTTCAGCACCCTCAGGAGGCCGTGGCGGGAAACGCCTCAACGCAACGTTGGGCGGGAAGGCATCGCGCACGCGCACATCCACGGCGGAGGGATGGAAAGGGGGAGAGCGCCCGGCGTTCGAAAAATGCCCGGGGCTCCTCATTGGCTGGCGGCTCCGGTAGGCCCCGCCCGCCGCCCGGCGCGGCCCCGCCCCCTCCGCCCCGCCCCCGCCCCTTTGCCCCGGCCCCCCCCGCCCCTCCCCCGCCGGTTCCCCCGCCGCCGCCATTAGAGGGTCGCTTTGTGTCCGCCGGGCCCGCTGGTGAGTGAGGGCCGACCCCGCCCGGCGCAACAACGGCACTGCTCAATCTCCTCTCCACCCCACTTTCTGGGTGGGCTGATGTCGTTTCCCCCCTCCCTCTCCCATTCATATAGTGTATCACACTGAGAAGAGTGAAGCTTTGGGAACCAGGGTGACCTTGCACACATTGGTGAGGATGCACAGGAGGAAGGAAGCTGTGCAGGACAGAGAAATTGCCATCAAACTGATTGTACACAGCACTATCATCATCATCAAATACTTTTAATAAGTGCTAAGCACTTTCAGTCCCTTTTCTAGCCCTCCCAGGTGCAATGCAATGTATGAATCCCAGCTGGTTCATGGATTTTTTTTTTCTTCAAAATCATCCAATTTGATTGCAGCCCTAAAGCTTCTACAAATTTGCCTGGAGCTTTGGGTTTTGACTGTGCAGTTCAGCCTGCAGTTTAAACCGGGACATTTAGCTATTGCTACTGTTTAGATGAGTTCCATAAAATTTGCATGTCGAGTGATTTACCATTTCCACCCCATATCCTTTAGAGACTTTCCAGACCAATGCCACATGTTCTTTTTTGGCTGGAAACATGAAACCCACTGTACTTCTGGTCTCAGTACCTCCATTCCAGGGGTCACAAGCCGTTTTGTTTTCTTACCATACACCAACTAATGTTTTCCCCATTTTACCACAATTTTTACTTATGGATAAATATATTTTTTAATTTAACAAACACATCACTCATGTTGTTGAACTGCTACTGCCTCACACAGAACAAAACAAGATTATCACTACCCATGTCACGGTGTGCTCTGTATACGCTGGAATCAGCTTCTGCTGCTATGTTCACAGTCCTGCTGGCTAAGCGTCACCAAATTCTGTTTTAACATTGGCCTGCAGCTTCAAACTTGATTATATTTAGGCCTTGCCTCTGGTATCCTTACCCCACTTCAGCAAATTTGTTTCCACTTTTTTACCTCAACTTTCACATTTGTTTTGTAAAATCTTTCCAAAATGTTTGGCCTACAGCCAGCCTGGCTCAGGGAGAACGTGAGTCTTTTCCATTTCATTCCACATCAGGAGCACAGCAGGCTGGGGAACTCCTTCCCATTGCTTCATTCTTTCATCCCTCAAGCTCTGCGTTCTTCTGCTTCTTCAGCTTCTTGTGCTTTGAAAAACAAATCAAAGATTCCCCGAGAAGCCTTCCCCAAATTGGGTAGCACATGTTTACTGATTCTTCCCTTTAAACCTGTTTCTCCCTGAATGTGTATCTGAGGAAGGTAATTTGGGGTTTGATGTAACCTTGGGGCTAAACATGCTGTAACAGAACCCAGCCTGTTGTTGCTGGCAGCCTGATTGCGCTGTTTGATGGGAGTCAGGCTGTGCCGTTTGAAGTGTATGGCACAGCTGCTAATTTTGCAGTGAACGTTCCAGGGAAGCTCACAGAGGGCTTGAGCAGGACCCTTGCTTTTCTGCCTTGTGGTTCCTGTTCAGCAGGCGGTGTGCCTGGCTGTGAAGGGAGAGCCTGGCTCATGTTTTCAGCTTAACACAGGTAACAGGGAATGGTGTTGAGTATAACTATCCCAAAACCATCACAAACTCAAAGCGTTTAATTAATGTGGGTCTCACGTCGATATGTGAGAGACTACCTGGGCTGAATGAAACCCCTCTGCAGCATGCAGAAGTATGAGGTGAGGAAGGACTCTGCTTTATGAAACACAGGCCCTGCACAGCACACACTCAGTTCCTGACTTTGGAAGAACTGATGTGATGTTCTTTAGCCACAGCTTTGCACTTTGTTGCCATTCTGGGCATGTATGGCTACTTTACCGACTGCACATCTGTAATGGTTGCCAGAACAACTGAGAATCTCTTCTAACATACTGTGTTTGCTGCAACTGTGCAAAAATCACTCAATTTCTGCTTTCAAAAAAATGTACATTCTCTGACACTTTGTGGCCCTCCCGACACTACCTTTGATCTCTTTATTCTTTATCAACCTCCAGTAAGTTTTTTTCCATACTTTTC